TGATTCCAGTCGCGACTTGGAAATAGCACCATCTGCTGGTTAAGAGGTAAAATGGCAGATTTTGTTTCTTTTTTTTTTAATTTATTCATTTATTAAAGATTTCTGCCTCTTCCCCGCCACCGCCTCCCATTTCCCTCCCCCAATCAAGTCTCCCTCCCTCCTCATCCCAAAGAGCAACCAGGGTTCCCTGCCCTGTGGGAAGTCCAAGGACCACCCACTTCCATCCATGTCTAGTAAGGTGAGCATCCAAACTGCCTAGGCTCCCACAAAGCCAGTACGTGCAGTAGGATCTAAAACCCATTGCCATTGTTCTTGAGTTCTCAGTAGTCCTCATTGTCCGCTATGTTCAGTGAGTCCGGTTTTATCCCTGGCTTTTTCAGCTCCAGGCCAGCTGGCCTTGGTGAGATCCCAATAGAACATCCCCATTGTCTCAGTGTGTGGGTGCACCCCTCGCGTTCCTGAGTTCCTTGCTCTCTCTCCTTCTGCTCCTGATTTGGACCTTGAGATTTCTGTCAGGTGACATTTTTTTAAAAATACTTTTTTTTTTTTGATAGGGCTCTCTATTATTTAGCTCTGGCTATCCTGGATTTACTATGTAGACTAGGCTGGCCTCCAACTCACAGAGATACACCTGTATCTTCCTCCCAAATGCTGGAATTAAAGGTGTGTACTACCACACCCAGCTGTTTTTAAAAATACTTTTTATTATTTATTGACCATTTCATACATTTGTACCTGTATCTTGTCCTTGAAGGGAGAGCCACAGATTGCATAATCTGATCACTGTGAGCCTTGTTAATCCACATAGGCTTTAATTTTTTGTTGCATTTATTTATTGTGTATGTAGGCACATATGTATAGAAGTTGTGTGTAGGCACACGTGTAGAAGTTGTGTGTGTAGGCAAACATGTAGAGAAGTTGTATATAGGCACACATGTGTAGAAGTTGTTTGTGGGGGTACACGTGTAGAAGTTGGGAGAACTTTCAGGAGTCCGTTTTCTTCTATTTTGTGGGTTCTGGGATTGAACAAGGTTATAAGGCTTGGCAACAGGAGCATGGGTTTTAAAGGGAATATTTGGCGCATTCTCAGAACCCCATAGACTCATTTCCCCTCTTCTTCCTGGTCCTGGCAGAATGAAACATTATAGCAGAAAAGAACATGGCAGAGCTAGGGAGAGGGCTCTGTGAATACAGGGACACTGTGTGTAAGCATGAGGACCTGAGTTCCATCCCTGGTGTTCATATAAAATGCCAGACAGGACAGTATGTGCCTATAATTGAAGCACTAGGGAAGCAGAGTCAGGAGGACCCTTGGTTTCACTGACCAGCCAGTCTAGAGGAGACACTCAACATCAACCTTGGCATCCACATTGCATTTGTACACATATGTGAACACACACACAATGAGAGCATAAGAACATGAGGTCCATGATCCTGATCTGCTTGTAGCTCCTGGCTTGTTCAGACAGTCCAGAGCCCTAGTGACCTATCTGGACACAGCCTGTATTGATTGCTAAGGAGACAGTGAAGCAGTTATTTTGTCCTTCACCACATCTGGGGCTGCAGAGGTCTGTTCTGATTCTAAGCCACCCCATCTCTTTCCTCATTTCTAAGCAAGCACCAGTTCCCAGAGAGCACATGAGCAGTGACCTTGGATGATGAGTTTCCTCTCCTTCTTCCCTCCCCTCATAGAACTTCCCATTTCCTATAAACTTTACAAATCCATTCAGCTTGCAACAATGTGATATATCTGTATTACACTGTAAAATGAGTCTGAGCAGACCTGGTGTGACTTCATATGGAGTGATTTACATGCTGGGCAAAAAAAAACTTTTGCTAACCAACTGCTAGTTGAAGACTAGCTCTTCTAAGGGCATTATCAAATTCAATTTCTGCCAGGGAAGTTGTTAAAGTTGTTAGTTCCTCTGTGCCTGCATAGCAGGAACCAGCACGTTAATGCCTATAGAGAGGCCACTAGTAAAGGGAGTAGTTGAAAGTAACAGTGTGTCTTGCCTTTTTCAGCACCCTGAAGTCCATGGAGTTTGCACCATCGGAAGGAGCAGGGACACAGGTACACCAGCTCACTTTGTTCCCAGGGTGGTAGCAGCAGCTGCTGGTCACTGCTGGTCCCTGGGGCTCGTATCTGCATCTTCATGTTGTTAAGAGGGGCCTTGCTTACAGCTGCCAAGTCTTTCCTCAAGAGCATTTCACCAGCTGAGCCTGGTAGTGCACACCTGTCATGCCAGCACTTGGGAGGTGAAGGCAAAGGATCAGGAATCTGAGGTCAACTTCAGCTCTTCCATGATATACTGTCTCAACAACAATAAAAATAAAATAGAGAAGGGTGAAAGATGGAGTGATCCTTGTTGTTGGGCCTGAGACTCAGTTAGTTAGGATGCTTACCTAGTATCATGAAGCCCTGGTTCCATCTCCAGCACTGACAGAATAAATGGGGCATGGTTGATTAGGACTGTAATCCCAGGACTTTGTAGAGACAGGCAGCCAAAAGTTCTAAGTCCACCTTGACTACTCAGTGAGACCAATCTTGGGTCCATGAGACTATCTTTAAAAGCAATAACAAGACTTGACTGAGTAAAAGCTAATCAGCCTCAGTAAAGAAAGGGCTAGTATTTGCCAGGCTACTCAGTGGGCCCTGGGTGTGACTTCATTTGGGGCATATGCTGAAAACACAGATGAAAAATAATTTCAGGATAGATATGGTAACGCTTTTAATCCAGCACCTGGGAGACAGTGGCAGACAGATCCTGTGAGTTCTAGGCCAGTCAGAACTACATAATATGATTCTGTCTGAAAAGTAGTAACAAGAATAATTTCAGGGGCTGGGTTGCAATTCAGTGGTAGCGTGTGTGTTCAGTGTGTGTGAGTCCTTTGGATTCGATTCCAGCACCAAAAACAACATCAACAAATATTTGAGGTTGTGTTAAAGATCAACTCATAAAAAAGTTTGGCCTGGAAATTAATGGTGTACTGCCTTAGTGTTAACTCAGGGGACATGTGACAGTGGTACCCTGTTATCTAGCAGCCACTTAAAGTTTACATCTCTAATATAATAATAATATCACATACCTGTAATGCCAGCACTCATGAATACAGCCTGGGCTACACAGCAAGTCCAAGTCTAGCCTAGACTATGTGAGACCATGTTATATACACACAATATGTTAAATATATCATAAAGCCAGAAGTGATGGTCTATCCATAGTCCCAAATACTGTAAGACTGAAGCAAGAAGATCACCTGAGCCCAGTACTCTGAAGCAACAAAGCAAAACAAAAGGAAAAGTTTTCTAAAATATATAGAACCTACATCACAAGTATAGTCTTGTTCCCATTATCCAGAAGGCATAACAGGTTCCTCATTGCTTTCTCACAGGGTTAGCAGCTTATCTTATTGCCAAATGATGTCCATGCTTAGACTGTGAGCATTTGGGAACTGCATAGAAAATAATTGTCAACTAGGAAAGTGGCTCAGCAGGTAATACACTTGTCCTGTCTGAGCCAGAAGTTCAAATCCCAGAAACCACCATGTAAATGCTAGGTGGGCATGATGGCTTACCTGTCATTCTAGTCTTGGAAGGAAGAGACAAGGGATTCCCCAGAGCAAGCTAACTAGTGAGACTAGCTATGTCAGCCAGCTCTGAGTTTTATTGAAAGACCCTTCCTCAGTCAGTAAGGTAAGTGATTGAGGATGATGCCTGAGATCAACCATGGGGCCTCTACATGCATGTGTGCCCACGTGAAGGTGTACATATACAGACACCACACATATATACACACATGAAAAACGGGGGAAGGATATCTGAATCTAAAGACAAAAATCATGTCAACTTTTTGTAAGGACCTTGAGTTTTTTTCCCTTGTGGAAGTCAAGTCAGTAATACATGTTGCAGGGTCATGGAAGCTGAGTTGGGGAGTGGATGGGTTCAAGGTGACCCTACGGTGATCCCTGCTCTGCCCTGTGCAGGACTCTACCAAGCCCCTGGAGGTTTTACTCCTGGAGAAGAACCGCTCGCTGCAGTCTGAGAATGCCACGCTGCGCATCTCCAACAGTGACCTGAGCGGTAGGTGGATGGGCATCACACACGTACTATGCTTGGTTCGCTTCCAGGGGTCAAGGACAAGGAGGGTGAAACTTTCGTCTGGGTTTGTGTGTGCATGATGGGAGCGCCGCTGGGTGACCAGAGACTTGTTGGACTAACAACCCTGAATGTAAACAGTATCCCACTCCCTTACCGCTTTGCCCCACCCCTTTCTGCAGCGAGATGCGTGTGCGCCGCCACAGCAAATCTACAGGGGTCAGCTAGGGCCTTTTGAAAAGGTCCCAGGAGGGACACCCTAAGGATGTTGGCTTTCTAATCTTCTCCTAGTTGGTCTATGAACAGGCCACGGGTAAAAAGCACACATGGTCTCCCTCTGGGTACGCTCCAGGGTGTGCTTTGAGAGGTCGCCAGCCCTCTAGTGGTACTTTTCTTTCTCCATGAGGTTTTCTTTGGGGACACAGTCCATCCCCCTTCCTTAGCCTCTCCTTTGCTCACCCTAAAATGGCAGAGTCACTGGCTGCTTTTGGATTTAGCAGCTGGTCAAAGTGTGTAACTGTTATCTGGACTCCAGTGGCATTGCAGTTCTTAAAATGTGTGCGACTTCGATCAAGGGGACTCAATGGGTGCATCTGCCTCAGAGCATGTGGTGTGAGCGATCCCATGGGTCCCCAAGTGTCAGTGTTTGCTGGTCCTCAGGCAGAGCCTTTGGTGGTAACTGCAGTGCTAGAAACCCCAAGACCTGTCACCTCTTTCCTATGTGTGTTACTAGAACCTTTGTCAAGGGGATTCTCCCGGCTGCAACGTACAAGAAAGGTGCAAACACGAATGCATGTGGCTTGTTTTGGGGGGCCTCATTTGGCTGATTCACAAATTCAATTGAAAAATAAACCAACACACCACTTTGGCCCTTGTTTAAAAAAAAAAATTGAAAAGAAAAATCTGCACTTTTTTTGTGGGGCACACTTTGCATTCTGGTCTTGGTTTTTTTTCCCTTTTGAATCCCCCATAATGCATTCTGTTTGCCCTTCCTTGTAGGGTCAGCCAGGAGAAAAGGGAGAGACCAGCCTGAGAGTCGGCGCCCGGGACCCTTGCCGGCCTCCCCTCCTCCTCAGTTGCCCCGCAACACGGGGGAACAGGTTTCCAATACTAACGGTACACACCACTTCTCACCAGCGGGGTTAAGTCAAGACTTTTTCAGCTCAAACCTGGCCAACCCCAGCCTACCCCTGGCTTCTACAGGAAAGTTTGCACTAAACTCTATTCTCCAGCGACAGCTAATGCAGTCCTTCTACTCCAAGGCCATGCAGGAAGCCGGAAGCACAAGCACGATTTTTTCAACAGGTCCTTACAGCACAAACTCCATATCTTCCCCAAGTCCATTACAACAAAGCCCAGATGTAAATGGCATGGCCCCATCTCCCAGCCAATCAGAAAGTGCTGGGAGCGTCTCAGAGGGTGAGGAAATTGATACAGCAGAAATCGCACGGCAGGTCAAAGAACAGCTGATCAAGCACAACATTGGACAGCGCATTTTTGGACATTACGTCTTAGGACTATCTCAAGGGTCTGTGAGTGAGATTCTGGCCCGGCCCAAGCCCTGGAATAAGCTGACTGTCCGTGGCAAGGAGCCATTCCACAAAATGAAGCAGTTCTTGTCTGATGAACAGAACATCTTGGCACTTCGTAGCATCCAAGGCAGACAGAGAGGTGAGACATGTCCATGTGTGCCTGGTGCAGTGCTCTGTGTGTGTGTGTGTGTGTGTGTGTGTGTGTGTGTGTGTGTGTGTGTGTGTTAGAACATTTGTACATCACATCAGGTAAAGTGCTCTTCAGTACTACCCTATCTAGCATTCAAGGGTCAGTCAGCAGGAGCTAGGGAGCTAGAAACCATTATATTCGGGAACTCTGACCTTGGAGAGTGTAGTCAGCACCTTGCCTCACTAAATTCCATATTTCACTGCTCTGTGTTTAGTTAGAGAAAGTTAGGTCATGCATGTCATCTGACAGGTTTAGCATCCCTGGGTCCACTTGGCATCAGGTACTGGCTTCCCTCCAGGAGCAGCTCCTCGGGTGCCATCCTACTCTATCCCAAAAGAACAAACAGCTATAATCCTCACAAGGCACTGGCTCTGTGGGACGAGCCTGTTAAAGCTGCCCTCTGCCTCCTTCACCTTAGAACAGGTCCCATGAACGTCTTGCATCATTTACGTCCAATTAGTGATTTTTTTTTTAGTACCACAAACAAAACATGCCTACCTTCAATAAATGACACGAAAGTTTCATTCAGTTCCCCTTCCTGCCACACCCTTCATAAAATGCTAGAAAGTGAGACGCTCCCACAGTGATGGAGTAGAGTCAGCAGTGACATAGAGAGACAATGTTTTCAGTCACATTTGAAATACCCTGAAATTTAGACTAAAACTCAGAAAGGAGATAATGAACAAACAGTGCAAGTTTACACCAAGAATGCAATGCAGTGCTTTTTTTTTTTTTTTTTTTTTTGGTAATGTTAAACTGAAATTGGATGTCTTTGGATGATTAATGTGAGCACTATCATTGACTGGCAGGCAAGCACCTCTCCCTCCCTTTGCCCTTCCTAGTGGTGATTACTGTCACCTCTCTTCTTACAGTAGACCCAATGCCTGTAAGAAAGTTCTAGGAGCGCTCATGTTGTGCAGGAAGCCTTGAGCCCTTTCTTTAGAGGCAGGTGGCTCAGCTCTCATGTCACACAGACCATGTCGTCAACGCCACCATCCCCCTGATTGTTTTGTTCTTACCACACTTGTTTTTCAACAGAGAATCCAGGCCAGAGCCTGAACAGACTCTTTCAGGAAGTACCGAAACGAAGAAATGGGTCTGAAGGTATGTCTCAGGCAGGTGTTTCTCTTTGCAGTCAGTAACTAGGAAGCAGCATGTCCTTAGCTGTGTATTTGGGTTAAAACTATGCATTGTAATTCTGGCCTGGAACCTGATGGAAAAACAGCTAGTAAGTATAAAACAAAGCACGGGTTCAGAGGTGCCCAGCCCCTTTCCTGTTGAGCTGCCAAAGCTAGACAAGCCATACCCAAGGTCAGTCCCCTCAGCATCAATCCTCGGTTTCATTTCAGGGACACCATGCATGTTTTCTCAGGAGCAAATGACATACCAGTTGTGCTCTGAGAAAATCAGGTGACCATGTCAAACCAGATATTGCTGCTTCCTCAAATTTTTAATACTGACATGTGTCAGAAATTCCATAATGTGTTCAGATTCCAAACAAAGCTGGTTCTTCCACAGGCATTGGTGAGCCAGTCTTCACCATACTCCTTTAAGTGGCTCCTTCCCAAAGTGTCCTCCTCATTATTAAATTGCTTAATGTGACATGTCTACTGAGAAAGGTAGTGAACAATTACAATGTCTGGATAGCTCCACAAAAGTCTGGGCCCAACTTGTGAGTCCTTGTACCTTCAGGGCATCTGCAAACGTATCTGCTATGCAGAGTACCACCATGTGACCAGAAGAATGCATTTGTGTCCTTAGGGATCTCAACAGGTTTTTCTCCTTGTTGATACATTTCGAAAACACAGTATGTCGTTATAAATCTAGAAAAGTTGATGTTCACACGCATTCCTCCTCACCTGTCACATCCCAATGAGTGAGCCAGGATTGGTCTCACCCAAGGGCTAGGGATGTAGCTCAGTCTCAATGGTAGAACATTTATCTAAAATTTCCTAGTGAAGGGCCAGGGACATTGCTCAGTGGGTAGAGCACCTGCCTATAATCCCTAGTGAGGGGCTGGAGGCATGACTCAATTGTAGAGCACTTGCCTAGGGTCCCCTAGTGAGGGGCTGGGGACATGCCTTAGTGATTAAAGTGCCTACCTAGAATCTCCCAGTGAAGGGCTATGGCATGGCTCAGCAACACAGTAATTACCTAGCATGTCTAAGGCTCTAAATTCAATCCCCAGTAACACGAGCGTGCACGCGCGCGCACACACACACACACACACATTAAGGAGTTTAGGCTCACCGTTTGCCTTTTGCCTTCCTCCCTTGTTTATGTTTAGGAAAAATAAATGTACAGAGCCTGAATGTAGTTCCAAGCCAAAGCTTTTTAATGAAAGCTTATGAAAAAACATTGCCTTTCAGTTTGCCTTCTTTCCCTATGGGCACAGTCTAGCTCCCATGTTAAGAAAGCCTGTTCTGCCAATAGAGTGACACTGACCTTGAGACAGGTTCAGCAGGTCCCACATCCATGCCACAAGATCACACTTATAGCAATTAGGGATGAGTGGGAGACCATGCCTCACTTGGGGCCCTGGGTCAGAATGCCTTGGTACATTGGTGCAGTGTTTATTTTCCATGAGAGCTGGCTTCAATGTCATCACTGGGACTTCTCCCTGCAGGTAACATCACTACCCGGATCCGAGCATCTGAGACTGGTTCTGATGAAGCAATCAAGTCTATCCTGGAACAAGCCAAGAGGGAACTCCAAGTGCAGAAAACTGGTAGGGCTTTTATTTCCTCACGCTGTCTTCAGACCTGTATCACAAGTGTTCTAGTCAATAGTTAATTACATTCCTTATCTTTTCTTTTCCTTTTAAATCAATACTGAGTTTATATCTTCATACATTAGGCATATGCAGAGGGAAGTATGATCTAGATTTGTGTTTCCTTTTTTGGGGGGAGCAGGGAAGTTGTTTTTGTACATGAGATAAGGTCTTCTATATAGCTTGAGCTCATGAGCCTCCTGTCTCTGCCTCTTCTTGAGTGCTACGTTTATAGGTATGTGCCACCATGCCCAGCTCTACTTTTAATATCACCTCCCCACTGCTAACTAGCCATACCCCAGTGCTCATTGTAAGAGACTGTCATTGATTCATCAGAGACTCTGACTTCCAGTAGACATTAACAGAAATCGTGCTTCATGAGTTTGGCAAAACCAAGAGAGGTGTAGGTATGTGGTTCATGAAAGTTAGTATTTAAAATCCTCCAGAAAAGAAAGCCAGAGTGGATTAGGGTGATGGGCCACTTAGCAAAACAGTTTGAAGACCTGAGTTTGGATCCCCAGAACCAACAATAACAACCAGAGTGGCAGAAGCATCTGTAACCCTGCCCTCCCCTCTTGGGGATCTGGGTGGGAACAGGAGAATCCCTGGAATCTCACAGGCCAAACAACCTAATTAATGCAGCAACAGAGACACCATCTCAAACAAGTTGGAAAAACAAGGACCAATAGCCAAGGTTGTCTGTCCTCTAATCTCCACAGGAGCTCTTTAGTGTGTTCACCACACACACACACACACACACACACACACACACACACACACACACAGAAGAAAGAGGTAACAGCAAGATGGCTTAGCAAGTGAAGGCCCTTGCCGCCAAGACTGACAGCCTGAGTTTGCTCCCTGGCACCCACATGGTAGAAGAGAACTGACTCGTGAAGTTTGTCCTCTGACAAACTATCATATTTATCTATCATGTACCACATATATGTGCACCCACATACATACACATAAAATAAATAAACGTATTTTTTTTAATGTAAAAAAGAAAGCCAGGGTAGAAGTGAGTCCCCATTGATCATCCTCCATGGTTGAAAAGCCAGCTGCTATGTCACAAAGGCAGTTAGAGGCAGTTAGGCCATTGAGCAGGTATGTCAGTCCTCTGTGTTCCCCTCTCAAACAAGGTGTACAGATATTTCCATGTTTCACTGATGATGAGGCATCAGAGAAGTAGCACAGTGACTGCACTAGACCAGTAGGTAGGATGAAGCCCACAGCTGCCAGGAACCATTCGACCACAACTTCACCCTGTGTGTATTCTTACAGCTGAGCCAGTCCAGCCATCTTCCGCATCCAGCAGTGGGAATTCTGATGATGCCATCCGCTCCATCCTACAGCAGGCCCGCCGGGAAATGGAGGCCCAGCAGGCGGCCCTTGACCCTGCCTTAAAGCCAGCACCACTGTCCCAGCCTGACCTCGCCATCCTCACTCCCAAGCTCTTGTCTGCCTCACCCATGTCTACTGTGTCCACTTACTCTCCTCTTGCCATTCCCCTGAAGAAAACCCCTGCAGCACCTGAGGCCAGTACCTCGACCTTGCCCAATGCCCCAGCCCTCAAAAAAGAGGCTCAGGATGCACCTGGGCTAGACCCTCCAGGATCAACTGATGCTGCCCAGGGGGTACTGCGACAGGTGAAGAGTGAGCTGGTCCGTGGCAGCACCTGGAAGGATCCTTGGTGGAGCCCTGTACAGCCTGAAAGAAGAAATCTCACCTCTTCCGAAGACACCAAGGCTGATGAAGCAGCTGCAAGTGGGAAAGAAAAGGTAGTCAGTAGCCAACCTCGGGCTGAGCGCAGCCAACTTCAGGGACCCTCATCATCAGCAGAGTACTGGAAAGAGTGGCCCAATGCTGAGTCGCCATACTCCCAGAGCTCAGAGCTGAGTCTCACTGGAGCCAGCCGCAGCGAGACACCCCAGAATAGTCCTCTGCCCTCCTCCCCAATCGTGCCCATGGCAAAGCCAGCAAAGCCCTCAGTACCCCCACTGACTCCTGAGCAGTATGAGGTCTACATGTATCAGGAAGTGGACACCATTGAGCTCACCCGGCAAGTCAAAGAGAAGTTGGCCAAGAATGGCATTTGCCAGAGGATCTTTGGGGAGAAGGTAAGGACTTTCACTGTTAGGGGAGAGCATGGCTTTCCATCTCTTTTTGGGCTTGAGGACCAAGTGTCTACCCTGCACAGCATGGCCATCATAGGAGTATTAGATATCACGGACTCCCAGAATTCTAGAGGCCGCCCACTTTGGGCCAACCTGTGTATCCCAGCTGTCCTGCTTAGTAACTGATAAATGGACATGCAGCAGATGAAGAAGCATGGTCCATTAGTGTCTGCATGCAGCAAGCTGGCAGGTGACCCAGTACCTGCCCTGCCTCTGAGGCCACATGCAGTGTAGAGATACCTCTGCAAGCCATTCCGGCCCTAAAAGGTCTGATAGGATCATATCATACAGGGATAACCAGCCTTCTGAGAACCAAAACACATGTGAAAGTAAAAAGCTGCACAGAACATAATTGCTCCTTGGCTGTTTTGTTGGATTTTTCTTTCTTGTATTGGTTTGTTGCACTTCATGGTTGTTTTGAGAGGGACTTATTTTTAGTTTATGTTATTTTTTGAGATAGTGTCTCCCTGTGTAGTCCTGCCTACCTAGAACTCATTGTATAGCCCAGGCTGGCTTCACCCTAGCAGGAATCCTCCTACCTGTACCTCCCACATGCCACAGTTACAGATGTGTGCAACTGCTCAGCTCCTAGTTGCTCCTTTCTCTGCACTACGAGGGCCTACAGAACCACTCAGAGCGTCACACGCCATCTCTTCCTGCCTCATGGAAGTGTAATCACTTTTGGATGAGCTTCTAGACCTATCCTGTGGTAGATTCAGGATAACAGGATTTACCATGCCTGTAAAATCTAAAATAAATAGAATAACCTATATCATTAGAGAGTAAACCATGAGTTGCTGAATATAAAGAGAAGTCCTGCCTTCCAGAGATGACACCGGAAGTGGATCAGCAGTGGCCCTCCCCACCCAGCCCCTCTCTGCCTCATCTCCATGTTGACCTTGAACTCTGTAGTCTGTTGATGGCTTCCTTGTCCCAACTTTGCAATAAGTAATGGAGAGATATAGACATGAGGATGTGAAGTAATGGAGATATATAGACATGAGGATGTGAATTGAAAGTCCCTGGAGAATCTTGAGTGCAGCATTGTAAAAATAAAATTTGTGAACATTTAAATAGGCATTTTGTGCTCCCACCTTAAATTTAGCAGACTTAATAACGTTGAATTTGTTTGGCCATGAGTGCTGCTTATTCTGGAACTGGAAAACTTTGCAAAGTGATGGGATGAGGCCCCTAAATATCTTTGGGCTACATCTGTGCCCTGGGGGGTGTTTGTGCCCATACATATGTATGGCCATATGTGAGAGGCAGCAGCCTGAGTGCATGCATGCAAGTTGTCGGTTGTCTGCTGCTCATTGTTGCTCCCACACTGGCTCCCTGTCCCCACCAGCTCTCCTCTGGTCAACCTGTAAGCAGGGTACAACCAGAGAGAATGACCTTTTATAAATGCTCTTTTGGCACTGTGTCAATACAGGAGCACAGGAAATCTCCCAATTCCAGTGGGCTCTTATTCCATTATCCCAGCCTGTCCTGATTAACACCAGGCAAAGGGCAAAATGCTCTGCAGTGTCTGCTCCTCAGCCTCTGCAGGGTTCAGACCCTGGAGAAAGCTGGCCCCTTCCTTCCACACCCTTTTCTAGTAAGAGCTGTAACTACCCTTTCTCTTTTTTGTTTTTGATCATGCTGGGGATGAAAACCAGGCCTTGCATGGGTTAAACACATTCCAAGCCCATCACTGGCAGATTTTAGGTCACACCCTGAACCTCTCAATAGGAGATTCAAGGCAGGTGCCTTGCTGCTGAGCCACATTCCCAATAGAAGTTGTGCTTATAATCATTTCTTTTGCCCAGAACCCCTGCCCTGTCCCAAGACTTTATCCTACTAGTAATCTGCTAAAACTGACCCCTGCAAATTGTCCCCAATGCTCTGGGCTGTGATTTTGTGCTCAGGAGTCCACCAGTGCACTTTGTATGTGGCTTCATCTCCCCCAGCCCTCACAGGGCCACATGTATGTCTCTAAGGCACCTTGCAGCATCATGCAGATTTCTGGAAGCTGACAATTGTTTTTCTTTGTTTGCTTCTTCAGGTACTGGGCCTGTCCCAGGGCAGTGTCAGCGACATGCTCTCAAGGCCAAAGCCATGGAGCAAACTGACCCAGAAAGGCCGAGAACCCTTCATCCGGATGCAGCTCTGGCTGAATGGAGAGCTAGGCCAGGGTGTTCTGCCTGTGCAAGGGCAGCAACAAGGGCCAGGTGAGAACAGCTAACCACCCTTTGCAAGAGCCTGACAAGAACATTCTCCATCCATGGGCTTTGTTTGGATTTGGTTTGGATTTGGGTTTGTTTTGTTTTGTTTCTTTCTTTTTTGTTTTTGTTTTGTTTTTTTGTAGTTTTTGAGGGGGTATGGGGAGTGGTGAGATAGGGTCTGTTTATATTTTCAAGACTGACCTCAAACTTACTATGTAGCCCAGACTAGCCTTAGACTCACTGTATAGCCAAAGCAGACCTTAAGCCCATGATCCTCCTGCCTCAACTTCCCAAATAATGGAAAGACAAATGTGTACCCATACCTGTCTCCATCTTTAGGTTTCAGGAATAAAGAAACTAAGCCCAGCTAATTTTATAAGCAGCAGAAAATTAGTTACCAATTAAGAAAATGCTGTTTATATGTAAATATAGGTAAAAGTCAAGTACCTTCACTGGGGAGCTGAGAAGGAAATCTAGCCAGGGTAACTTCAGAAGTGAAAGTGTCACAGGCAGTGGCACTTTATAGACTTGAGCAACCCTCATCCCAATCCAGCATCCTGGTCCTCAGCTTGACAATAAGAAGCCTCCCTCCCTCTGAACCCCTGCTGACCCTCCTAGTATCTTTTGTGCAGTTGGGAAGCTCCAAGCCCTGTTTCCTATGTAACGGTACCTTTTTCTTCCACAGTCCTCCACTCAGTGACATCTCTTCAGGACCCCCTCCAGCAGGGCTGTGTAAGCTCAGGTAACTAGCCACTCATGTTTATTTGCTAGCACCTCTGCTCTAGAAATCTGTGATCTGGGAGTAAGTGTCCCATTTCTAACCTTAGCAAACAGCTGTCTCTCCCTCTCCGCCATGCTGTATCTGAGGCCATTGTGTAAATAGAATCATGCAAGACATGACTGTTAAGAATTAGCTTCTACTAGACAAAGTGTCCTGGAGATCCACTGACCTGATGTGCAGCAGTAATTTCTTCTCCTGCCTGAGTAGTATTCCTATGGTATGGTTATATCAAAGTTTGTACTGCATTGAGGCTATCTCTAGGTTGTGGCAATTATTCATAGACTTGGCATGGCAGTAAAAAGAGTATGCGGTCTCCTGCTTTCCTGAACTTGCTTTCTGAGGACAGTAGTAGAATTGGCAGCTAAGGAGTGAGACCAATAAAATCCATGCCTTTACTGGATCTCTTCATTGTTTTGTAAGTATGAAGCTCTGCGTTTGGTGCTGGGGTCTATTGGAGGCAAGTTTCACAGTCAGGGGATCTCAGTCTAGCAGGAAGGACAAGGCACAGCCATCACTGACCCAGGAGTCATGGGAGGGGATATCTCTCCCATCTGGAGCACCAGAATAGAGAAGCCAAGGATGAGTAACTCAAGCAGCAGCTAGGGTGAGATTCAGTGGACACTCAGTGAGGGTTCAGAAGGGGCCAAGATTGAAAGTAAAGGATGGGAGCAAGTAGGGATGGCAGCAGTTACAGACCATGAAGCTCAGGCTATTTTCTACTGATTCCAAAAACTGGGAAGGTCTCAAAGGCACCTGATAGATCTGTTATCTATTCCCTGAGGTTCCTGGCCACAGTAGCCAAATGCATGCATGCCCTGACCACAGCCATTGTTCCCAGGCTCTCATCACTGCCTTTTACACTGAGCCCACAGTCAGTCCAGCTTTCTTTCCCAGCTCCGAGGAACAGCCGGCAGTGTGAGCCGTTTCTTTTTTCTCTATTTTTCTAAACATGTTGATTAGTCTCCGTATCCCATTGATTCATTGAAAACACAAACAAAGCTAAATGAGGAATGAGCGCAAAGCCTGTCAGCTTGCCAGAAGGGAGGACACATGTGCATAGAGGGGAACAGCTGGACAGCTTTAGCAATAGCTGCCGCTGCTGCTGCTGCAAGATCCCAAACACATTCTCCCTCCCCCACACACATACACAGAATCAGGGTGCTGCAGTGGCCTCAAAGCTCTCCCTTGAAGGTTTTATGGGTTTTAGGTATTGTGGTTTTGTTTGGTCCATAATGGGAAATAGAGACTGGACAGATGCACTGGGAAAATTATCAGCATTCTTTCTCTCCAACTCACACTCAGAATTTAGGAGGGAACGTGGTTAACTTGTTTGTGCTGCACTTCTTGGGTATTTGTATGGTAAAGTGGCCTGGCCTCCTACTCCAGTGAGGAGTCAGCTTTCCTTCAACTACTACTCATTCCAGGCTAAACGAAGCTTGTTGTGGCAGAGCTATGCTTTATTGATGAAAGCCCTTCACTCCTAAATACAAGACTAAATGCCCCTCAGTACCATATCTCTTAGAATCCTGACCGAAACTATTTCCGTTTATCTCAAAGGGGTTTGTTTTGTTTTTGATGGATGTGTGTGACAGCATATATGTCAAAATCAGAGGACAACTTGTGGAAATTGTTTCTTTCCACACTGTGGGTTCCAGGGATTGAACTCAGGTCATCAAGTTTAGTGGCAAGCATTTTTACCAACTGAGCCATCTTATTGACCCCACTCCTTTTTCCCCCCTCCAAGACAGGGTCTCATATAACCCCAGCTAGCCTCAAACTCACTATGTAGCAAAAGATGACCTTGAATTTCTGCTCCTTCTGTCCTTACCTCTTGAGTGCTTACATTACAGTCATACACCACCACACTCAGTTTATGCATTGCTGGGGATTGAACCCAGGACTTTCAGCATGCTAGGCAAATACTCTGTCAACTGAGGTACATCCCCTTCCCCCAAAACTGGAATTATTTTGTAATGATAGTATCGGTAAATCCTTGTGATAAATGACTCTAGAAAATTCTAGAATCTTTGACAGCTTTTATCATTGTTTCCTCTAAAAGAACTCTCTGGTTCGGAGAACCTCATAAAATTCTGATTACCTCTTTTGCCATGGCTACTGTGGAACCCATTTCAAAAATATATCAACTGAGAAGGATAACTCTGCCCCTCACAGATCCCTGACAGCTGTACCTGGAGGTGCATAGCATGGCCTGGTCAGTTCCTGGACAGTGGTGGGGCTCACTTCTCTCCCCAGGGTATAGGAACATGGAAGGACCTGCCTTCTATCTACTTGGTCAGTTGTACCTTCAGTGAGGTTTCCCAGGTCATTGCAGAGATCAAGGGCCTAAACAGAAGGCTCTGTGCTTGGTTGTCAAAGCCCTCCTTGGCAAAGGACAAAGTGCTGGCTAGGGACCCTTCTCCTTGCCAAAGAACTCCAACCTGGGAGCTGGAGATGTGACTCAGTTGGTAGAATTCCTACCTAGCATGCATGTAGCCCTGGGTTCCATCACCAGTATAACAAAGTATTGAGGAGTTAGTGAGGGTCAGGAATTCTCATACACTAATCTCTCTGGTGAGGAGAGGCCCAAGTTCCAACTGTCTTAGTGGATGTGACCCTTTGTGTCCTCTGATAATCTGAACCTTGAGGCACAAAGGAAATTTAATGTCATTTTCAATTACCAGTGTTGCTCCATGGTTACCTCTGGGGGGGGGGGGGGGGGNGGGGGGGGGGGGGGGATGAGTGCCCAGGCCTGAGGTCAACTTTATATGTCATTCCATATGAGTTGTCAACCTTGTTTTTTCAGACAGGGTCTCTCCCTGGAATCTGGGGCTCATCAGCTGGGCCAGAGAGCCCCACCTTCTCAGAGCTAGAATTACAACGTGCACCAAGGCACTTAGCTTTTTCACATGGATTCTCAGGGTTAAGGGAGCACACACACTAGAGAGCATCTGCTAACGTAGTGTAATATTTCGTTTTTACTTCTTAAAACTAACTTCTGCAGATGCTTGGGCTGGTTCATCTTTCATCCTCTACAGAAGGAGATAAGAGGTAGCTCTGAAGGGAAGGAAGAGGCCCTCCCCATGGTGACAGAAATTGTGGCATGCTGGAGGGCTCGTACAAGAGCTGTCTGTGCCCTCAGCTTGGGAACTTGTTGATACGGGAGCCTTTCATGACTATAGCTAACAAGGTGTTCTGCCTGCTTTTTTCACACTGGCTTCTGGCAGATCTTGTCAAAGTGTACAAATGAAATGACAGCCCATTTTCCATAGATTAGGCACAAAATGCTCAATTTTTCCCTAGCACTCTGGGTGGTCAGGAAGAGTGGCTTCCAAGTCATGTCTGTCCATGAAGAGTCATGCAACTCCATGGCGCCATTGTCCATCAACAGAGTGTCAGCTGTCCTTTAGAGGGGACAGCTGCTACAGGCTGGCTAGGGCATGGGAAGTCCAGCTAAGACATCCACAGCTGTGTAGGTGAGGTCTGTGGATATTCCTCATAGCATGGTAGCCTGTATCCTTCAGGGTGTGCATCCTGACACTCGCTTGAGCTGCTGGGAAGGCCTGTTCAAGGAGCTTCTTCTCTCAGATCCAAACAGCAGGATTCTGCTGCAGTCTGTCTTTGACTAAGCAGCCACTTCTTGGCACTTGGCTGACTTTAAAGAGGTGACAGAGAGGGTTGGTGGCAGCCTCAGAAAAGTTCGTGGAACTGAATAGAGGAGACAGAATTCCTCATGAATGCACTAGATTCAAGTTACATTTTCCTTCTCTTTGCTCCAAGAATGTCATGAGAGCAACTGGTTTTATCCAGACAGAATGCTTCTGGCTGCATTCATGTAACTATATTTGTGTATAACCACTTATACATAGCCTCATATAGCATATCAAACAAAAAAGAAAAACTCAGGGCCCCGTGAGATAGTTCAGTCAGTAAAGAGCTTCCCATGCAAACACGAGGATCCGAGTGCACTCCCCAAAACCCACCTGAAAAAGCTAGGTTTGGTGGTGCAAGCTTGTAAATCCCAGTGCTTGGTGGACAGAAACAGGAGACTCTCTGAGTTCCAGGTCAGTGAGGGATTCTGTCTCAAAACAGAAACAAAACAGGTGAGGAGGAGCACCCATGGTTGTTCTGTGGCTGTGCACATGCATGTGCACCCCATACATATGGGCATACATATGATATACCCACCCACAAAGAAAAAGATCTGAAATTCCATGAAAAGATCTGAAAAGATTCCACACATGGCCACTGCCTTACTGCCTGAAATGTTAGCCTATGGTTCCATCAAGATGGTAGCCCATTCAATTCTCTCCTTCTTGTTGGCAGCCTGCCTTGAGTCATTTTTATTTTATGAGATGTAGCATATTATAAGAACTTTCCATTCTGAGGCCAAAGGGGGAATTTCTGGATTTGGGCTATTGTATGGCACATCAGGGGGTCCCTGGAGCTGCAACTTTGCCATGAAAAGATATGGAATCAGACAACAAAATGTTTCAGGTAGGGAACAAATGTGAACACATGAGAAGCAACTAGTTCAGAAGCCTTATTAACAGCAGGAGGAAAGTACATGGTGAAAGCGTGTTGTCCCCTTTTCCTGTAGAACACTTGCTGTTTCTTGCAGGTTTCTGTATTTGTATATGTGTGTTGTATTTGGGACGAAGACACACCCCAGCCCCTCACTGGGGGATTCTAGGCAGGGGCTCTACCCCTGAGCCACATCCCAGCCCCTCACTGGGGGATTCTAGACAGGGGCTCTATCACTGAGCCACACCCTCAGCCCTTGAAAGAGATTCAGACTGGTTTCTAAACAGTGGCATCCCTTAGCCTACTGGAGAGCAAGCCAGATGTGTGGTCAGCTTCTAGCCAGTGCTGACTCATCGTTCCTCTGCCTCTTAGTACTTGTGTGACCTGGGGCAAAGCAACTCAACCTTCCTGTCCTGCTTCTTCAGCCCTACCTCCTAGAC